TCCTGGGTGGCTCAGTCGGTTGGGCGTCCGACTTCAGCTCAGGTCACGATCTTGCAGTTCGTGGGTTTGAGCCCCGCGTCGGGGTCTGTGCTCACAGCTCAGAGCCTGGAACCTGCTTCAGATTCTGTGTCTCCCTCTCTCTCTGCCCCTCCCCCGCTCATGCTCTCTCTCTCAAAAATAAATAAACATTTTAAAAAATTTAATAAAATAAAATACCCACAAAACATATCCTCCTGTTATTTTTCAGGGGCATTTTTTCTTCTTCTTCTTTAATGTTTATTTTTGAAACAGAGGGCGCGTACGCGTTGGGGAGGAGCAGAGAGAGAAGGGGACAGAGGATCTGAGCTGTCAGCACAGAGCCCGACACGGGGCTCGAACTCATGAACTGCGAGATCTTGACCTGAGCTGAAGTCGGACGCTCAACCAACCGAGCCACCCAGATGCCCCTTAGGTGCCCCAAATCTTTAAATAATGTATTTGAAAATGCCAAAAGCCTGTCTTGAATGTTGGTGAAATTCAGAGCTTCGTATCACTCCCTATATGTGTGATTTTCTTGCGTTGCTAACTTGTCTCTGTTGAAACCATCTACTATGCATGTTCCCTCTACCTCTGTTTAGAATTTTTAGTAATTCCTCTCCTTGGTAATGCCTGACAATGTCAGAATCCTTTCCTGAATGATCGTAACGTTTAGAATTACAGAAAAATGACTGTTTTCATCAGACAAAGGGAGACTCGTGGACAATGGTCTTGAGATTTCATATCCAAGAGCAAATGTTATTTGAATATGGGGCTGTATCAAAATTAAGATTTAGGGCCTAGGTTAACACAGTATTGCTTTGGGGGATGACCTTGACCCCAAATTTCTCATGCAGCCCATATGGGGAGCTCTTCATTATTCTGAAGTGTCTCGTGGAATTTGTTGTCTGGCCTACTGGTCAGGGTCCAGTCTTGAAAACAACTGCCGTAAGAAAAGCAGCTGGGGGGCGCCTGGGTGGCTCAGTCGGTTCAGCGGCCGACTTCGGCCCAGGTCATGATCTCGCGGTCCGTGAGTTCGAGCCCCGCGTCGGGCTCTGTGCTGACGGCTCGGAGCCTGGAGCCTGCTTCAGATTCTGTGTCTCCCTCTCTCTGACCTTCCCCCGTTCATGCTTTGTCTCTGTCTCAAAAATAAATAAACGCTAAAAAAAAAATTTTTTTTAGAAAAGCAGCTGGAATCTGGCTGGGAGCCGCTGAGAGAGGCGGCGGGCGAGAGGAGACGTCACGTGCGGTTTCTGCTCTCTGTCCTTGCACCTTGGGCTCCTGTCAAACGTCACAGTTACAGGTCCTTGACGCCGTTTGAGCGTCTTGTGCCAGGGAATCGACAGAGAAGGAGGTTACCATTACTGCTGGAGTGTTTGATCTGCAGAATTAAGGAATTGCTGGTACACATTTGGGGCCAGGTGACTCTGTACGGAGCCTGACAGATTCACTGAGAAGCCTCGTAGTATTTCCCTGCGAGTTCCCGTGGGAGGCTAAAGCACCCATTAGGACAGGACTGCTAGAAATTCAGTCTTCAGTGATGAAGAAAGAACCTTGACCCACCAGTAGCTTGCTGATGGCAAGCATAACGTGCAACGGGGGCAGAGAAAAAATTTTTTGGCATCAGCCAGCGTTTTATGGTGAATACCTGGCAACTGTACCTGCTGTGTATATTTTTGTTGGTTTCAACAAATTTTCCTTCCCTATTTTTTGTTTCGATATGGAACATTGATTGGCGAGGTTTTGTTTTAGAATTCAGTTCATAGATCATGAGATCAAGCAAAGTCACGTTGTGCTTAGAGACCCTAGACTTGAGACACAAACGAGGACCTCTAGGACTTTGTATTTTCTCTTGTTGGGGACAGGATGAGAGTGTCACTGTGGGATTCGCCCATTCATGATAGGCAGGACAGCATTGTCACCTTACTGTCACGCGTGTATCGCGGGAGGATGAGAAGGAAGGATGACAAATAACAGAGTGGGTGGACCGTGCTGACCCTGGACCCTGGTCCTCAGACCCATTCCTTCCTCTACCTTCCCTGCTCTGCTCCCAGGGCTGGGGAAGCCTGGCCCACAGGTGTATCCCAGTCTCCTGTATCAAGTGCTTCTCGATGAATTTGGTGAAACTGAGGGGAAACCGAAGGGTGTGAGATTAGTAAACAAAAACAAAATACTTCTTCCGTCTGGGCCTCAGGTAACCTCTCCAGCAATGGCTGTGTCTCCTCTGTCACTCCAGCTGTTCTTAAGTAGACATGCTGTGGTTACAGCTTCCGCTGGTTGACCCTGGACCGGGGATCCCGTAAACACCTCCTCCTTTTGTCCCCCTGCTGAGTGACGGTCATGGATTCCTGCTTCTGCACCTTGGCTTTCGCATCTGGGACGCCTCCCCACCCTCTCTGGCACCTCATCCCTCCTATCACTTGTGTCACCAACTTCCCACATTAAGTTCCCTGTTTTACTTACAGTAGTTTTTATTTTTAGATTGGACCCTTGGCATTACAAGTGCGGGAGGGACAGTTCTTGATTCGGGGCATAGAGAGCTTCCTACAAGACAGCCTCCCAACCTTGCAGAGTATGTGAGTTCCTAGAATTATAATAAACAATTGCTGGAAGAAATTCAAAACAGCTGGTGAGTGGCTAAGGAAAACATGCTATGTCCATCCAATAAAATACCTTTTTGCGATAAAAAGACGCACGACGTAGCTGCCGCAAGAAAGGAACCAGTCACGAAAGACTAGACTGGATTTTCTATTTACATGAAAATCTCCAGACTTGTGGTTGCCTTAGGCCGGGCTTACAAGTGGGGACTAACTGCCAACGGAAGTGGGGGGAACATCTGGCAGTGATGACACTGGACTTTAATGAGGGACACATACCTACCGATTCACAGAGAGTCGCTGAACTGAACACCTAAGTGGGCAAATTCAATGGCATGTGAATTATGCCTCAATAAAGCTGTTTAAAAATGTATAGAGCTGGGGCGCCTGGGTGGCGCAGTCGGTTAAGCGTCCGACTTCAGCCAGGTCACGATCTCGCGGTCCGTGAGTTCGAGCCCCGCGTCGGGCTCTGGGCTGATGGCTCAGAGCCTGGAGCCTGTTTCCGATTCTGTGTCTCCCTCTCTCTCTGCCCCTCCCCCGTTCATGCTCTGTCTCTCTCTGTCCCAAAAATAAATAAACGTTGAAAAAAAAATTAAAAAAAAAATGGATAGAGCTAAAGGGAGAAGTAGAAAAATGCACAATCATAATTGGAGATTTTAACTAACTCCCTTCTATTATTAGCAGATAGAACAAGTACACATAAAAAGTCCAGAAGGATATAAAGTATTGGAGAAATCCAAGGGGCGCCTGGGTGGCTCAGTCGTTTAAGGGTCTGACTTCGGCTCAGGTCGTGATCTCATGGTCCCTGGGTTAGAGCCCCATGTCCAGCTCTGTGCTGACAGCTCAGAGCCTGGAGCCTGCTTCGGAGTCAGTGTCTCTTCTCTCTCTGCCCCTCACGCACTCACGCTCTGTCTCTCTCTCTCTCTCTCTCTCTCTCTCTCTCTCAAAAATAAATAAAGATTAAAGAAAAAGTACTGGAGAAATCTTATGAATGATTCAGATATTGGAATGGGCAGATAATAACTTTGAAATAACTATTATTAATAAGTAGGAAAAGATATGGGGTGCCTGGGTGGATCAATCGGTTGAGCATCTGACTCTTGACTTTGGCTGAGGTCATGATCCAGGGTTGTGGGATTGAGCCCTGGTTTGTGCTCCACACAGCATGGAGCCTGCTTGGGATTCTTTCTTCTCTTTCTTAAAAATATCAAAAAAATAAGTAGAGGGGCGCCTGGTGCCTCAGTCATGATCTCACAGTTGATGAGTTGGAGGCCTGCATCAGGTGAGCTCAAGCCCTGCTTCTCCCTCCCTCTCCCTCTCTTTCTCCCTCTCTCTCTCTCTCTCTCTCTGCCCCTTGTAGGATTCTCTCTCTCTTTCCCTGTCTGCCCCTCGTTCACTTGTGCCCTCTCTGTCTCAAGAAAAAAATAATAAGTAGAAGAAGATAGAGGAAAAGATAGATATCATGGATGAAAAGATGTAGAACTAATAACAAAGAGAAATTATAAAAAATCAGTGGATAATACTAAAACTAAAAATACAACATCAGAGATCGTGAACTCATTGCATGGGATTTACAAGAGAGGAGACATACCAGAAGACGGTATTAATGACTTTAAAGTTGGGTCAATTGAAATATGTTAAGAAAATGAAAAGAAAGAGGGGGGGCACCTGGGTGGCTCAATCGGTTAAATGTCTGACTCTTGGTTTCTGTTCAGGTCATGATCTCATGGTTGGTGGGTTCAAGCCCTGCATCAGGCTCTGCACTGATGATGCAGAGCCTGCTTGGGATCCTCTCTCTCTCCCTCTCTCTCTGTTCCTCCCCGCTTTGCTCGCGCACTCTCTCAAAATAAGTAAACTTTAAAAAGCAAAAAGAAAATGAGAAAAAGGAGAGGCACCTGGGTAGATCAGTCGCTTAAGCATCTGGCTCTTGATTTCGGCTCAGGTCACAATCTCATGGTTCGTGGAATCTTTTTTCCCTGCTCCTCTCCCCACTCATGCTCTCTCTCTCAAAGTAAATAAGTAAAGTGAAAGAAAAAAGAGAAGCTAAGGATTAGAGAAAATATTCACAAATCACATTTCTAAGAAAGAATTTATATCCAATATCCAGAATATATAAAGAACTCTCAAAACTCAAAAATAAGAACACAGCAACTCAATTTAAAAATTTTTAAATGTTTATTTATTTTTTAAATTTAGAAATTTATTCTGTTTAATCCACAAGCTTTATATAGCTTTAGTTAAAAAAAAAAAAAACCCAAAACCAAAACAGTGAAAACAAGACACTATTTCAAAGTCTGGGCCCTTCCAGACTTCCAAATATGAGAGAGCTCTGAAAGTTGTATATACCAGTTGGAAGAATAAGACAAAATTATGAATGGAGCCGTGACATTTCATAAAACAAACGTTTATGTAACTGAAGGATCCTTCCTGGGACTAGTTAATTGCCTTTACAAAAACCACAACAGAATAGAATGGAATTCCAGTGTTCCAAATCAACTTGTTACACATCCATATAAACCCACAGTGTCCTGGCAAACAACATGCTTTCATTTGCCGTCTCATCCTAGAGCTCGAATCTGGATTCATTTCAGCAGAGACTCCACAGGCAACAGGAAAGATTGTGGCATCAAAATGTTCATTTATACTTCTGTGGTAGTTCAACAGTGGTCTTATTTCTGGGCTAGCTTGCAAACCATACAAGGTTGGAAGCATCATAACTTAAATGGGTGCTAAGACTCAAATGAGAAAAAATAAAGGGGGGAAAAAAACCGAAAAGAAAGGAAAACCTCTGGGAATAGCCAAGGCCTTTAAAGAAACCGTAAGAATGCCAACAATATTGAAACCCCCTTTTTTAAAAAGGGGATTTTTTTTTTTGGCTTAAAATATTTCACTGTAAATGAGATTTATGTCAGCTGTCAATGAAAGAATGTCACTAATACACTGTGGACACCTTTTGCAATGTAAATCCATGCCCTTTTTTTTTACATGGTGAACTTCAACCTAGCAATTATTACAACAAATGTTATAGTCTAAAGCTCAAACACATTTTAGCAATTTTGAAACTGAATTGCATACAAACCAAATAAAATGTACATCGTAACACACATTCCCACCTAAGACTGTGGGGACACTTGAGCCTTCCGCATCGACCTCAGCGCCTTTTCACGCAGGTGCTTTTCTAAGTCATCGAGGTTGTCTTCGGGCTCGCTTTCGGTCTCCTTCTTAGGCTCGGGCTCCGCTTCTGGTTCCCCCTGTGCTGATGGGCTTGTGGGAGCAGCAATGGCTGCAGGGGTTACAGCAGCCGCAGCGGCTGCAGCCACGGCCTTTTCCTTCTTGTGTTTTTTGTGCTTCTTGTGCTTCTTACCCTCTTCGTGTTTCTTGTCCTTCTTTTTCTTCTTTTTCTTTCCACCTCCTTCTGGGTCTGAGTTCCTTGCCGGAGACGGGCTTGGTGTTGGGCTTTTAGCCTTTTTGACCGGTACCGCTGGTGACCAGTTGGTAGAGGGTGACTGAGACCGGACAGGAGGCTGAGGTGCTGGGGGTTTTTTAACTGCCGGCTCAGGAGATCCTGAGACAGATCGGGAGGATGAAACCCTCGTTAGGGACTGAGGGCTTGGTGAGGCAGCCTTCTTTGTCTCTTTGGGTTCCGGAGTCCTGGAGACTCTCCTAATGGGCCTCGTACTTGGAGATGGGGACTGCCTTCTTTGGGGTGACGATGATGCTCCTCTTCGAACAGGTGGAGGACTTGAGGAGGTCTGAGGAGCTCGAGGCCGTGGTGAGGGCGAATGCCGTTTGTTTGGTTGTGGTGACCGGGGCTCCCGGGTAGATGGGCTCGGGGAAGACCCTCTCCTATGCTTTGATGATAACGAAGGCGAACGTCTCTGGGTGACCGGGGAGCTTCTCTGTTTGGGAGGTGGAGAATGGGAGACCCGGCGCCCTGGTGGTGGAGATGGCGATGCCCTACGTTTGGGAGGGGGAGGGGGAGAAGCCGTTCTTCTCTTTGGAGGCGGAGAAGGAGAGTATCTCCTCTGTATTGGAGGAGAGTAGCTTCTCGGGGAAGGTGAGCGGCGCCGGGGGGGAGGAGAAGGAGTCCTTCGTCGAGGTGGCCGTGTGGGAGGCCTGCGCCTTCGAGGAGGAGGGGCAGGAGAAGGAGAACGGCGCCTTCTGGTGGGTGGTGGGGAGGGGGTCCCCCTCCGACTACCACGAGGGGAAGTCTCTTTCTGGCGCTTTCGAGGTGATGGAGAGGCACTCCGGGAAGGGGAACGTCTCCGCCGCCTGCCTACCTCACCATTCTTCACATGGGACCTTCTGGGTCGCTCATCTTCTGAGGAAGAAGAGGAGCCAGAATCAGATGAAGACTGCTGCTTCCGTCGTGTGTACTGACGTCTCTGCTGCACAGAATCTGCGGCAGCCATTTTGCCACCTTTATCTTCTTCCGATTCAGATAACTCTGCTTTTCTAGGCTTCGGTGCTGGTGAAGGGGACTCTCTTTTCTCAGTACCTTTGCGTTTTGTCACTTTACCTGAAGTTCTCCCTGGAGAGCCAGAAACACGACTTCGTCTTGTACGGTTTGGCCGCTGGGGTGTTGGGGAATGACGAGTTTTTGGCGGCGGAGTTGCTGGAGGTGACGGCCTATGCCTTCGCCTCGGAGGACCTGCTGAAGGAGATAACCTACGAGTTTTCCGAGGGGGGCTGGATGTCCTCTTAGGAGGCTTCTTTGGCGGTGACCGGGAACGAGACGAAGCAGATGACGAACCACTTCCGGACAAGGACGCCGATGAACGCCTTCTTCGTCTCCCTGGAGAGCTACTTCTTCTAGGCCTGGGTGGAGGTGGCATTCGTCTTGGTGGAGTTCTTCTTCGAGGAGATGGCCGCCTTCTCGGGGAGTACGCTCTTGATCGGGATCTATGACGCCGTCTAGGTCGAGTATGAGAAGGAGAGCGAGACCGTGTCCGGGATCTTGATTTGGAACGTGACCGAGATCTCGGTCGGGTCTTCTCCTTCTCCTTTTCTTTCTTGGAATTTGTCTCCAGAGGGCGCGGTGTATCTCGGGATAGGGAGCGATCTCCGAGCGAGGCAGCAAGATGGCCGCGGGATTCTTCCGCGGAACGAGTGCAGAACAGGATAATCGGTTCGGCAACAAACAGGAGAAGTTACTGAAGCAGCTGAGATTTGGAGAATGCCTAGAAAAAAAAGGTGGATATGAGCAAAGTAAATTTGGAGGTTATAAAGCCTTGGATAACAAAACGAGTAACGGAAATCCTTGGGTTTGAAGATGATGTTGTGATTGAGTTTATATTCAACCAGCTGGAAGTGAAGGATCCAGACTCCAAAATGATGCAGATCAACCTGACTGGGTTTTTGAATGGAAAAAATGCTAGAGAATTTATGGGAGAACTGTGGCCCCTGCTCTTAAGGGCACAAGAAAACATCGCTGGAATCCCTTCTGCTTTTCTAGAACTGAGGAAAGAAGAAATAAAACAAAGACAAACTGAACAAGAAAAGTTGGCATCAATGAAAAAGCAAGATGAAGACAAGGGTAAGAGGGATAAGGAAGAAAAAGAAAGCAGCAGAGAAAAAAGGGAGAGGTCTCGAGCCCAAGAAGACGCAAATCCAGATCTCCTTCCCCTAGAAGACGATCTTCCCCTGTCAGGAGAGAGAGAAAGCGCAGTCATTCTCGGTCTCCCCGCCACAGAACCAAGAGCCGGAGTCCTTCCCCTGCTCCAGAAAAGAAGGAAAAATCTCCAGAGCTCCCAGAACCATCAGTGAAAGTAAAAGAACCTTCAGTACAAGAGGCCACTTCTACTAGTGACATCCTGAAAGTTCCCAAACCTGAACCTGTACCAGAGCCTAAATGTTTATTTATTTTTGAGAGAGAAAGAGAAAGAGGGTGGGGCAGAGAGAGGGAGACTCAGAATCCGAAGCAGGCTCCAGGCTCCGAGCTGTCAGCACAGAGCCCGGCCCGGGGCTTGAACCCACAAACTGTGAGATGGTGACCTGAGCTGAATTCAGATGCTTAACCGACTGAGCCACCTAGGCACCCCACAACTCAAATTTTTTAATGGGCAAAATAGTTGAACACTTCAGAGAAAGTTTATGTACATTAAATAAACACAAGAGAATATGACTCACATCATTACTAGGGAATTTAATGCCGCAATGAGATTATCACTCATGAGAAACCTATCAGAAACGCTACCTATTAGAATACCCACCTATTAGAAATGCTAACAACAAACAGAAGAAGTGACTGATGATATTGAGTGCTGGCGAAGAGATATATGGAGCCACTGGAACTCCTACATTGCTGGTAGGGAGGCAAGATAATATAGTCTGGAAGGCAGCTTGGCCCAGAGGGATGACCTAGGGGTAGCCCTTCATGACCCTGAGGGTTCGCCAAGGGATTCTTAGAAGAAAGAGCAACAGAGGAAAAAACAAATTGGACTTCATCCAAATTAAAACCTTTTGTGCTTCAAAAGACAAGAAAATGTAAAGATACCCCACAGAAGAGGAGGAAAATATTTGTAAATCGTATGTGGTATATATATATATATATATAGAGAGAGAGAGAGAGAGAGAGAGAGAGAGAGAGAGAGAGAGAACTCACACATACAGATATGTGAAGAACTCTTACAAGTCAATAAATAAGAGAAGGAGCCCCAGGTTCTGTCAGAGGAAACCTTATTGCTAATAGAAGTGCGGTGTATATTGTCAGTTTGAGGGACTGCACCCCTGAGAAAGGCTCATAAGTTGTGTTGCCTGGATAGAAACAAACATAATCATATCTCATAAAGACACTTGAAAAATTCTTCAGTAAAAATGTGTATATGAAACATTTAACGTTTCATATAGTAACGGCTATTTCATATAGTAATGGCTATAGATTTGATCTATGTTGAGGGCTATTGTCTCATAGTTTTTAACTCATCTAAATATCTCAGCGTGTGTGTTTATGACATATATACGCTATGTTCTTCAAGGTATATATGTACACATAAGCAAACAAGTAAATTGTGTATTTTACACATAAAATAATTATTTATCAGTAGACAGTTATGTGTAAAGAATTAAAATATTTCCTCATGAAGACTCCCGATCATAAAATGGGAATGATGAATGTTTATGTGTCACACTCTGGTGGATGTACAAGTTACGAAAGATGATTCGTGGCTTGTCCCGCTGCGGTTTACGGCCACATCAGTAGTGTTCTCATGTATACGGTAGGCACGTTCAAAGTTGTGTGTGTGTGTGCCGTGTGCTGGATCGCCGGTGTGGTGCCCCTGTCAATCACTGCCTTGAGAATGTAGAGACCCTGACCTCCCTCTATATTCCCATCAGGCAGGACATGTAGCAAAACGTGCTCAGCGTTCCAGGTCAGGGACTCCGGGGGTGACCAAGCTGGAGTGTCTCCCTTGTAAGCAAAGGTGTCCTTGCACGCTGGCCATGCAGGAGGGGAAGGGCCCAGGTAGTTGTTGGGTTAGTTGCTCTAACAGCTTGCTGCACGTAGATCCCAGCGGCGATACTTTGTCCGTTTGGTCACTGCCGGACTCCCTGCACACAGGTCCCCCCAGGAAGCCTGTCTCCCCGTCGTTCTCTCTAGGTCCTTTCTTTGGTCTCACTGGACCATCACCCGCCACTGGCTTCGAGTCAGCTGGGGTGAGGCCACACGCTTTGTCAATATGAAACTTGTGCATTAATTAGAACTTGCGATGTAGTACCGGACTCCTAAAGCCATCAGGAAGATAGTCTCCCGCTTTTGAAATCAGTCTTCACAATAAGGATGGACAGAGGCTGACATTTATGGATTTCTAGAGTGTACATTCACCGTGTCTGGTAATTGTTTTAGTCTGAGTGTCTTTTGGGAACAGAGATTAGGAAGGCATCTTTAGTAACCCACAGTTTCCCTGTTTGTAAATAACCACATGAAAATATTTCAGAGCTATCCGCTGAATTTCACATTTTAATTTTGGTCACCATATTTTATAATCACTAGAGTGCATGTATGCATAGGAGCTTAAGTAGCAATTTACATATAGGGCTCACACTCACATCACCTGCAAGTATAGACAATTTAGAACAGGGGCGCCTGGGTGGCTCAGTCAGTTAAGAGTCCGACTTCGGCTCAGGTCATGATCTCGTGGTCCGTGAGTTCGAGCCCCGCATTGGGCTCTGTGCTGACCGCTCAGAGCCTGGAGCCTGTTTTGGATTTTGTGTCTCCCTCTCTCTGACCCTCCCCCATTCATGCTCTGTCTCTCTCTGTCTCAAAAATAAATAAACGTTAGAAAAAAATTAGAACAAAACAGAGCATAAGACATTCACAACCTCATGAAATCAGCCATTCTGAGATTACTCTTTGTTGAACACACTGGGTGCATCTTGAGATCACAGGAAGTTCTATGTTATCATAGGACAGATTCGTCTATAATATTCAAACTTTGATTAAATAAATTAGTGAACACTTGAAAAAGAATGGACACTGTCAAGTTACATATTAACATCCTTTTATTTCCACAAAATAAAAGTATTATACACCCCATATTTATTAAGATTTTTTAAATATTAAATCCTTATTCTCAAATTTGAAGTAATTCACACAATCGCACACTGTTAATGTATTCTTCCCTTGTAAAAAAGAAATACTTTATTCGATTATTCCAGTTAGTGTCTACTAGACTCTTTTAATCTAAAACATGTGGCCTGAATCTTACAAAATGTTCGTAAGTATTAATACTGTTGATTTTCAAGTTTTAAATAGTGTGTGACACTTCCATGTACACTTTTCCTTCGCACAGTTGTGCAGCACTAATTGTTTTGGAAAACTTTCCTTTGTGCATGCGCTTATCCAGTTAGAACATTTACCACAAAGATAGGACAAAGAAACTCTACTACGCGGTTGATAAACTGGTGATCGAATAATAGTTTTATAAAGCTGGTGGATGAATTGGTCGGGAACAGTGAAACAGTGTAGTACATCAAGGTCATCCGCTCAGCTGCACCCTTGGTTGCGGGGTCCACTCCGGAGCAATGATGGCTGCAGAGAACCCAGCTGACCTGTATGGGCCACAAGTCTGCCTTGACTCCGTGGCCCTGGCAAAGAGCAGGTTCGTTTGTTGTGGGTGACTGAGCTCATCATGAAGCGTTGTGGGAAGACAGACCCTGAGTTAGAATTTAAAGCATAAATGACGTTTTTCTCTATGTGGCGTGTTGTAGACCCTGAGTCTAGAGATCTTTCTTGTCCAGCACGAAAGCAGGACACAGGATTAAAATGCGAGAGATGGCTAATGTCCAGGAGGAGACAACAGCCCCGACTAAGGGTCCTTGCTCCGTTTTAATTAGGATCAGAAGGCTCACAAACATGGTGATGGACGTGCCCAAAGAGACAATAAATCTGTGAATATTAACTCATGGGCATGAGGGAAAGAGGGTTTTGAAGATACACGGTGTTAGGGGTTTGGGTCAACACAAAACAAAATCCTGGTGCTGAGCAGCAGGCATAGGCGCTGCATGTGTGTATCTTACCAGCCTAGGGGACAAGAAAGACAGAGCGTGCTACCTCAGGGTCACCAAGGCACCTTTCTTTTGCTAATTAGCTCCACTTTGGGCAACTTTCGCCCGCAGTGGTCTACAGCCCTGTTTACCTGTTTACCTAATTTGGTCCTTCCTTCCTGTGAAAGCAGCTTTCTGCTACAGTACTAAATTGGGGGGCGCTTTCGCCCTGAACACCTAATCTTGTTTACCTCATATACCTCTGCATTGGGGCCTTTGCCCCGCCCTCCCTATCCTGGGGCTTTGGCCCCGCCCTCTCTATCTTAGGGCCTCGGCTGTTCTCTCCATACCTATTTACCTAGCCTTGTTACCCAAACTTGGGTGTGAGCATCCTCTGGCTTTGTAATTCTTCATGCCTTGTTAACCCATCCGTGCAGGCTCAGGGAGTTCCTAAGATTATCCCCCACAGTGGCAGGGCCTGAGAACATGCACATTTTCCCTTGAAACAGCAAAGTAAGTCAGCAGAAAGAAATACATGTATGCTTTTATTCCATTTGCCTGGTTCTACAATTTGAGCTGTAAGAGGATTATTCTAAAATTGGCTTAGGATATAATAGATTTATATTTAAAAGTACATTAGATTTTATATGTATTATAAATTGTATGTATGATAAATGTAAATTATATTAAAATATACGTAAAAAATTTTAATTTAACAATCATATTAATTAGTGCTAGTGAGCGTGATTATTGAATCTTAAGGGTACCTGGGTGGCTCAGTCGGTTGAGCATCCGACTTTGGCTTAGGTCACGATCTCACGGTTCATGGGTTTGAACCCCGAGTGGGGCTCCATGCTGTCAGCGTGGAACCTGCTTTGGAGTCTCCGTCCCCTTCTCTCTCTGCCCCTCCCCTGCTTGCATTGTCTCTCTCAAATGAAAACTTTAAAAAAAGTAAAATTTAAAATTTAAAACAAAGCTTATATCCAAAGTTATATTCTTCTTTTTAATTTTAATTTTAATTTTAATTTGTTTAATGTTTATTTTTGAGAGAGGAAGAGAGGGAGACAGAACACGAGAGGGGTAGTGGCAGAGAGAGAGGAAGACACAGAATCAGAAGCAGGCTCCAGACTCCAGCTGTCAGCACAGAGCTCGGCGCGGGGCTCGAACTCACGAACCGTGAGATCATGACCTGAGCCGAAGTCGGCCGCTTAACCGACTGAGCCACCCAGGCGCCCCGAGAGTCGCTTTCTGAAGACACAGTGTGAGCCCCTGAGGGAATTTTTCCCTGGGACTACCAGCCCAAGCGGCTCAGGTGAGCGTGACTCAGTAGTCAGCCTGGGACACAGGTGCGTGCAGTGAAGGTGCCACAAGCACACACGTGCACACGCACACACCTTATCCCGCTGATCCGGTGTGCCTCGTGGCATTTTACCATCACATCGTGAATAGTTTGCACACTGATTTTCAGAGTAAGAGCCAAAGTCATTGTGTTCTCAATCGAATGGCTTTCTCGGTGCCATGAACATTTTGTACAAAATGCTTTGTGTGTTAGAAACTTATTATTTTTAATTTTTTAAAATATTTATTTTCGAGAGAGAGAGAGGAAAGGAGAGAGAAAGAGTGTGAGAAGGGGAGGGGCAGAGAGAGAGGGAGACACAGAATCCGAATCAGGCTCCGGGCTCTGAGCTGTCAGCACAGAACCTGACACGGGCTTGAACGCATGAACCACGAGATCATGACCTGAGCCGAAGTCAGATGCTCAACCGACTGGGCCACCCGGGCATCCTTGTGTGTTAGAAACTGCTATTTTTTATGTTTTATGTGCACCCTGTTGGATGTTCTCGAAGGTGCTAAAGGGGAGCTCTGTGGCGCACGAATGTCAGCCTGCTTGCCTTTCCTGCCCTTGGCCTCTCCGAGTCGTCACCGGGCCGTGAGAGAGGCTGGGCACGTCCCAGCCCTGAGCCCCTCGGGGCCGATGTTTAAGTAGGACACCCGTTCCTGATGGAGGGCAGGGTCAGGGCTAGAAATCAGGGCACAGTCAGGGGGCCCTGAGGGGAATGGCCGGGGCTCCCTGGTTGCCTGTACCCTGGCCCTCTGTCTGCAGAAGCTCCCTCTTGCCACCAGCCCAGGCTGTCCTCCCCTCCCCCGGGCAGGCTCCCCAGGGCTCCACGGTCTTCTGGTAGGTCTTTCCTCCCCTCTGCTGCTCCTGGAATCAGACTTGAAAGCAGGTATCGCCACGATTTCAGCAGCTGGGCTGCAGACCCCCGCTCCCTGCCTGCTGGAATGAGTCAGGAGGGGAAACGTGGCCCCTAAAATGCAGGAGCTGCCTGGTGCCCTGAGCCTGATTTCGGCTGGGGGTCACTAGCACATATATAGAAAGAGTATGTCTGGGGGCATCTGGCAGCCTCAGTCAGGTAAGTGCCTGACTCTTGATTTCGGCTCAGGTCGTGATCTCACGGGTTTATGAGTTCGAGCCCCACATCAGGCTCCCTGTTGCCACACTGGGATTCTCTCGCTCCCTCTCTTTCTGCCCCTCGTCCCCCGCCCCCCTCAGAATAAATAGATAAACTTTAAAAAACAATTTAAAAAATGGTATATCTGCACGTACACAAGCATAGCCACAATAGCTTACTGTCAAAACTTTGCTGTGTTCTCACGTTTTGTTTTTATTATTTAAAAAAAATTTTTTTTATGTTTATTTTTTGAGAGTGAGAGAGCATGAGTGCGGATGGGGCAGAGAGAGGGAGATACAGAATCGGAAGCAGACTCCAGGCTCTGAGCTGTCAGCACAGAGCATGACGCGGGGCTCGAACCCGCAGACTGTGAGATCATGACCTGAGGTGGAGTCGAACGCTCAACCGACTGAGTCACCCAGGCGCCCCATTTTTTTTTTTTTTGGAAAGTTTTATTTATTGAAGTAATAAATACTTACTCTACACCCAAAGTGGGGTTCAAACTCACAACCCTGAGATCAAGACCAAGAGTTGCATGCTCTTCCAACAGAGCCATCCACGTTTTAAACGTTTTAAAGAAACAAGTGTGTGTTGAAAGCCGTGAGTACCGAGGCGGGGACAGCAGGCTGGTTCTGGAGCCAAGACGCACCGCCGTTGTCTGAAGGACCAGGGGAGGCGCCCGGCCGCAGGGGCTACAAGAAACCGAGCACCGGGTCTCGGTGCCTGGGTCCCGAGCTGGGCCCTTGAGAAGGCCGGAACCACCCCCGCCCCCCACCCACCAGTGGGATGTCAGGGGAGCTCTGGTTGGGAAGGCGGCCTCCCCTCCTACCCTTCTGACTCAGGCTGGGGGGTGAAGACAGGCTACTTGTGCCCCTCATTAGAGGAGCAGTGGCTGGACCCCACGCCCATTCCTCCTCCACCTTTCCAGCCCCGGGGCCCACTCAAGTGAGGTGGAGAGGCAGGCAGAACTGCCCGGCCCTTATCGCCGGGGCCCCTCTGCACAGAGCCCAGCAAGGTGGGTGATGCTCTCCTTCCCTGCGTGCTGGAAGACGGGCTGACCCAAAGGAGCTATGGACAGGAGGTGCGGGGTATGCACTTGCTCAGCAGGGCCTGGTCCGTGCTGTCCTTCTCCGGTGACCTGAAGGACAGCGTGTCCAGGCAGCCTGACAGCTCGGGGCGGAAGGCACAGGGGAATGTGGGCACTACAGGGAGGATGCTGGCGTCTGTAGCGTCGTCTAGAAGGCCGTGCCTTTGGCCGGCCACCTGAGGCCCCCAGGCGTGGTGCCCTGCTGAGGCTTCCTCGGCCCCCCCGGGGGGGGGGGGCAAACCACAGGGAAGCAGTGAACACGGAAGGACGGCCGCTCCCTCCAGGAAGTGGCCTAGCACAGGGGCCAGGGTTGGCTGCCCATGCGGGCGTCTGCCTGCCTGCCGTCAGCCCGAGCGGCACTGTGAGGACCGAGAAGGGGAAGGAGCCCCCGTCTGTGGAGTGGCGCTCTGGGTCCCTAGGTCCTTTTGCTCTGCAGCCACTGAGCAGGTGACCTCCCGTGGTCCCCGCACTCACAGTGACACATCGCGGGCTTGAGGTGGGGGCAGCGGGCCGGCTGTCGGCAGACAGCTTGTACAGCGCCACAGCCACACGGGAGGTGTCCGGGGCCAGCACCAGTCTCCAAAGCTGCGGGTCCCCGAGGCACACCGCGGGGCCTGAGGAGGGTTGCGTCACCTGCCTGAAGTCTGGGGAGGCTCTTTCTCCTTGCCTGGCCCCCGCTCAGTGTGGGGGTGCCCCCAGGCTGCGGTTCCCGTGCGACAAGAGGGCAGAGGAACCACTTAAATACCTCTGGTGCCGGGGTGAGGCCGGTGACGTGGCCTACCTTCGGATAGGAGACCAGGGGTTTGCGGGCAGGTACGGGAGGAGGAGAAGGGACAAAGGAGACTCCAGGTGGAAAGGACTCAATCCCTTGTTCTCTTAGTGGAAGGGACAGGGCCCAGAGTTGGGAGCGGGCGATGGAGGTTAGCCTGTAAAGACTCCAGAAAAACATCTGTGAGGGACTGTGCCAGCAGATCCTGCCCTGCCTCAGTCCCATACAGTCCCTACTTCAGTCAGCCCCTTCCCCAAGGGAGCCTCGTTCCTGCTGGCGCAGAGTGGGGTTTAGACACCTCAGTGTGGATGCGGGTGTGCTCACTGCTCCTGAGATGTCATTACTGCTAAGCCGTTTTATTACTATGATTGTTACCATTATCATTATTAATATAAGTAGGCTTCATGCCCAGTGTGGAGCCCAATGTAGGGCTTTAACTCATGACCCTGAGATCAAGACCTAAACTGGGATCAAGAGTTGGACACTGGGGCACCTGGGTGGCTCTGCTGGTTGGGCATCTGACTTCGGCTCAGGTCATGATCTCACAGCTCGTGAGTTCGAGCCCCGAGTCGGGCTCTGTGCCGACAGCTTGAAGCCTGGAGCCTGCTTCCGATTCTGCGTCTCCTTCTTTTTCTGCCCTTCTCCTGCTCGTGCTCTGACTCTCTCTCTCTCTCTCAAAAATACATAAGCATTAAAAATAATTACTTTAAAAAAAAGAGTTGGACACTTAACCTACCTAGCCACCCAGGAGCCCCTAGAACAAGGCCATTTTAGTGGACGGAGCTAAGACATAGACACACATGCACATATAGATGTCCATTATGAATGCATGTTAATATTCTAACCCTAATCTAACCTCATGGGACTGGCCTCCCCTTCTCTCTTCAGGGTCTGTATCTGCTTCCTCCCACAGGGAAAATCCTAGTTCCCACTAATATTAATCATTACTCAGTTATTTAATCATGTGTTCAGTTATATAACACAAAAGTAATTTTAGAATTTCTATGCCCATGCTACTTCCAAAACAACCAAAAATAAGCCTGGCTTTAGGAATTCTTCCCGCTCATAACAAAGGTACTGTACTTCAATCTACTTGGACGGCTTCTTCGTGTTTCTGTATTTCTCTTCTGTGATCATAGCATTTGTTTGAAATACAGTGAAGTCTGTGCTTTTATTTATTTATTTGGTGCTTTTATTTTTGTATTCAATTTTAAATGTTTTAAACCCAAATTTGTTTATTTAATATATGAATATTAATATTTGTATAATATTAATATACATTGTTTATCTAATATACAAATATTAGTATTTGTATAAATATATAAGAAATATACAAAAAGTTCTCAAGTTAAAACTGTTCAAAAGTAGGGGCTCCTGGGCGGCTCAGTCGGTTAAGCGTCCGACTTCGGCTCAGGGCATGATCTTACGGTTCATGTGTTCGAGAGCCCCACGTCGGGCTATCTGCTGACAGCTCAGAGACTGGATCCTGCCTGCTTTGGATTCTGTGTCTCCTGCTCTCTCTGCCCCTCCCCCACTCACACTCTGTCTCTCTCTCAAAAGTAAAGAAACACTAAAAAAAAAGTATACTCAGATTAGTTATTCTTTCTCTTACCTTTCTACTACATTCACAGTCACCTCATGTAGGAAACCTATTTCATTGGTTTCTGGCTATTTTTCTATTGTTTTGCAAAAATAAAAATAAGTAAGCATACGTATCTTTTTCCTGTCTCCCCTTCTTTCTTAAGAGGTATACTTAGTATATATGTATTAGAATATTCATATTCTATAGTACTATTCATAGTAGGCAAATATGGGGTCTATCAACAGTAAAAAAAAATAATGGGATACACACACAGAAGAATGCAGCAATGTGAATAAATCATCTACGACTAAATGCACATTACGGATAAATCCCACAGCATAAGATTAAGTTAAATAAGCATGTTACACAACAAAAATTATGCCGTACAATTCCACTTATATAATGTTCAAGAAGGCACAGCTCATCTATGGTGACTCTTGGGTGGGGGAAAAGACAAAGGATGCAGGAAGTGTTCTGCTAAGGGTAAGTTTCCTTAACTGGGTGGTGCTTACAAGGGAGTGTTTTGTTTGTAGGAAATCATCAAATGTACATACATGTGCACTTTGCTGTGTATATGTTACATGTCAATAAAAAGTAAAGAGGGCATTCTGGAGTATTTACAATTAAAGGAGATTGGGCTGGAGATAAAATCACTCTGGGTTTCTTTCATCGGGTTATCTTTACGTCACAGGTGGCTTTTGTGAATCTTGAAAGATGAATGGGCTTTTCTCCA